AACGTTCCCCAGCCACTCTGTGCCACATTAGTGCACGCTGAGCTAATTCGAGGGTCTGCAGAAGCATGAATTGAGCACAAAGAATGCAAGACCAGGCTGCTCGGCTCTCGGCTCGCTGGGAACAATCCTTTGTTATGCAAGGATCTTTCACATTCATGCTAAGGAGGAGGATTTGACAAGTTAATTAATTTGTCTTTTCTTTTACCTAAATGCTTCTGCCACTCAAATCCTTTATGTACTTCCAACCCAGCCTCTCACCCCAAAACCGAACACCCCAGCGTCTCTGTCTTTTGTCTTGAGGATCTAGGGCAAAGAGATGAGTGTCTCCCTGGGGATGAAGACTGTTAGGCAGGAGGGTGAATGTCTAGGTTTATGGGGTTGCCCTGTCTGAAGTGAATACCAAGCAATAGACACCCCCACAACCACTTGGTTTTGAGTGTAGCACCAGGCAGTATCTAAACTGCTTGGGGTTCCTGGTGCCTGAGTTCAAGAGAGCACTTTAAGAAGTGCTTTAGAGGACAGGATGGTGGTATACTCCTGCCATCCTGGCTCTGGGAAGTGGTTTTGTTGTTTGTGGTTTGAGTACAGTCTGGGCTATAGAGTAAGACCCTGTCCCTCCCCTCCACCAATAAAAACAAAAAACAAAACTACAAACAACAAAACAACTCATTTAGGCTGAATGGTACTGTGATTATCTACCATTCAAGACCTCTGAGCACCCCAGCACCACAAATACAGAATAAAACAACCAATAGCTAGTGGGGTGCAGGACCGTTTTGTGGTCCTAGGGATCAAACCCAAGGTTTCTTCTGCAAGGTAAGTACCCTACCACTGAACTGTAAGCTCAGTCCATGTTTTACATTATTCTCTTTGAGACAGGGTCTCACTCACAAGAGGCTTGAACTTACTCTGCAGCTCAAACAAGGCCTTGAAATTTGGGTCCTTGTATACCTTTCCTGAATAGCTGGGATTATAGAAGCCTGAGACAGCAGACTTCTCTAGAGTTAGTTTTTTACTAAGAGAAAGGCCAGAGCCTGGCATATAGGCCACATCTATAATCCCTGACAGAGATGGAAAGATCTCCAGTTACAGGCCAGCCTGCCTATCTAACAAGTCCCTGCCTCAGAAAACCCAAGGAAAATGGGCTGGAGAGATGGCTTAGCAGTTAAGAGCAGTAGCTGCACTTGCAGAGGACCTGGGTTCAGTTCCCAGCACCCAATGGCAGTTAACAACCATCTGTAACTCTAGTTCCAGAGGATCCAACCCTTTCTTCTGGGCATTGTACATAGGCACTTACATACATGCAGGTAAAACACTCATACACATAAAAATAAAATAACAGGGCTGGAGAGATGGCTCAGTGGTTAAGAGCACTGGCTGCTTTTGGAGAGGACCCAGGTTCAATTCCCAGCCCCACATAGTGGCTAACAACCATCCATAACTCCAGTTCCGGGGGATTCAATGCCCTCTTCAGACCTCCATGGGCACTGCATGACACGGGTGCACTTACACATATCCAGGCAATACACGCATACACATAAAATAGAAATAATAAATAAAGCTGGGCGTGGTGGCACATGCCTTTAATCCCAGCATTTGGGAGGCAGGTGGATCTCTGTGCGTTCAAGGCCAGCTGAGTCTACACAGTGAGTTCCAGGCCAGCTTGGGGCTGCAGGGAGACCCTGTCTCAAAAAGACTGAAAAAAACTTATAGTAATAGTAAATAAAATATTAAGATAAATGAAATAAAATTGCATTTTGGCAGCACTCAAGGGGCAGAGGCAGAAGAATTCACTCAAGTCACAGTGCAGCCCTGCTCTTCATAGCCTGCTCCAGAGACATAGAGATATAGGGCAACACTGTCTCACAAGCCAAAGACGCGGCGGCTGACACAGCTGAGCAGGTAATGGTACTTGCCAGCAAGGCTGAGCACCTGAGTTTGATCCCCACCCACACGGTGGAAGGAGAGAACAGACTCCTGCAAGTTGTCCTCTAACCTCCACGTGGATGTTCCTCCACCGCCCCAAAAACAAATAGAATAATAAAAATTTAAAACTTTTGAAAGGTAGGAAAGAACTGACCCCCTCAACTAGTCCTTTAACCTCTACATATAACCCTTGCTTGTGCACCTGCCCCCCATAAGTAAATAAATAAAATGTAATAGCCGGGCCTAGTGCACATCTTTAACTCCAGCACTCAGGAGGCAGAGGCCGGCAGATCTCTGGGAATTTGAAATCAGCCATATTGAGTCCCAGGCCAAACAGGGCTATGTGGTGAGACCCTGTTTCAAAATAAATAAATAAATAAATAAATAAATAAATAAATAAATAAATAAATACTAGAAAATTATAATAGCAACAAAATACAATGAAATCATTTTTTTGGGTGGTGCCTTTTTGAATCAAGGTCTCCCTGTATCCTCGGCCTGGAACTCCCTATGTAGACCAGGCTAGCTTGGAACTCACAGAGTTCCTCCTGCCTCGGTCTCTAAAGTTCCACGATTTAAAGGTGTGTACCACCATGCAGGGCATTAAATTTTGGAAATTATTTATTTTTAATAATTTATTGAGAATTTCACACACACATATAAGGTGTTTTGATCAAATCCATGCCCACTCCTTCCCCTCCAACTCCTCCCGTATCTCCCCATCACTTTTTTCTGATAACTTCATGTACTCTTTCTTCTTCTTTTTTTTATGGGGCTTTTTGCTACTCTAACATCCCCCCTCTGGAGAGGTAACCCTAAAATCTTTCAGGGATCAGATAAGAGCTCCCAAATACTTTTGTTATTTTTGGCCTTTGGAACAGAGTATGTTGCTACGAGGCCCAAAGACATTTTGACTTTTAGCCAAGAAACTGGTTACTTTTCTTTGGGGTCTTTTTACCCCAACTGCCTAGCCAATTCCTACCTCCTATTCTTATCACACCATCCTCTGAAGAGGTTACCCAACTTGTGGATAGGAAACTGGGACACGGACCACTCTGGCTTCTTCCATGCTGAACAGGGATGCAGGGTGAGGCAACTGGGGTACCCCTTAAATTTTGAAAAATATTTAAAAACAAAAATGATAGAATTAGGGATATAAATGAATGATAGAGCATTTGCCTAGCATGTGCAAAGTCCTGGGTTCCATCCCTAGTACCATAAATTATTTAATTCAAAATTCTAGGTACTGAGGGCAGGAGAAATGACTCAGTGGTTAAGAGACTTCCTCAGAAATAAATAAATACTAAATAAATAAATAAATAAAAAGAGAACTGAGGCAGAGTGCTTACGCAGCATTAAGCAGCACTGCAAGAAAAATTTTAAATGAAATTATACATGTATATGTTTGTATATAAAGGAACTTTTTTACACAGTTAGGAAATTACAATCCTTTTTAGGTTTATTTTGAACAATTATCTGCCACTAACAAGAATAAAATTCATGATATTCAGATTGTTCAAGAAAATCTAGGTCATTCCAAAATTTGGTTCTTTGAAAATATGATTTGCTTATATAATTTTCAAGTTGCTTCAGCAATAGTCGAGCATGGCTTTGGAAAAGCAGGGAGTCAGCCTCACTGAAGAAGACAGTGGGGGGCGGTTCATACCTTCCAAGTCCACTGTACTCTTTTTGCAAATAGAAGGTGCCCTGGGGAAATGAGTTTATCTGTTTTTGTTTAAAACAACTGGTGCTTTAGTCACAGCACTGGAGAGGCAGAGGCAGGTGGATCTCTCTCTGTGAGTTCAAGGCCAGCCTGGTCTACATAGTGAGTTCTAGGACAGCTGGGGCTACAGGGAGACCCTGTCTCAAAAGACCAAAAAAAAAAAAAAATCAGTACTGTGGAGTAGATGTTGGTGGAATCTGAGTTAAACCAGATAATTTACAAAGATTTTACCCAGAGGGGCTTGGTGGTGCATGCCTGAGGTTAAAGCAGATGATTTACAAATATTTTATTGAGGAGCTTGGTGGTGCATGCCTGAGGCAGAGGCAGGTGGATCTCTGAGATCAGGCCAGCCTGGTCTGCATAGTGAGTTCCAGGCCAGCTGGAGCTACAGGGAGACAAACAAATGGTGGTACACACTTGTAATCCTAGCACTTGGGAGGTGGAGGCAGGAGAATTCTTTGAAGTTCAAGTCCAGTCTGGGCTACAAGTGAGTTGTAGGTCAGCTTGGGTCATACAGCAAGACCCTGTCTAAAAGGGACAAGTTAGGTAGAGAGGAAAAAGGAAGGAAGAAGAGGGGGAAAGGAGGGAGGGAGGGAGGGGAGAAGGGAGGGAGAGGAGAAGGGAGGGAGGGAGGAATGGGAAAAAAGATGGGTTGAACATAGAGCACAGACTTGTAAGCCCAGCTCTGGGGAGGTAGAGGCAGGAGGGTTAGACATTCATGGCCAGCCTTGGCTACATAGTGCTTTTGAGGCCTGCCTGAGCTGCATAAGACCCTGTTTCAAAACACTAAAAAAAAATTTTTTCAATGAAAATTTAAAGAAAGAAAAGAAAGAAGATGGACTGTGGGTCTTTGATCCCAAATCCTGACCTCAGAGCCAAGGGGAGCCTGATGTTTAATTCCACCACAAACCCTGTCTCCAAAGCCTTGCTATTTTCTGAATGTGACATCCTTATATCAACAGATGACAAATGCTTGGTAAACTCCCATACTGCCTTTCATCTAGTAGTGCTCCTGAACGAGCTCTGTACATACAGAGCGTCACCTCGGAAGAGAAGGCGAGCCGCCTAAGCCCCTTAACCTTGAGACTTCCCTAGTGCTAGGCGCTGTGGCATCTGGGTGCTCTGAGTAGGGGAATGATGAAAACAAGCAAACAAACAAAAACCCTGCAGTCCTCCTCAGGAGCCATTCGTCATTCAGGTAGGGAGGCAGGGAGGGTTCAAATGAGGCTGGCCATTTCTGCTTCAGAGCTGGGAGAGACAGCCTGTTCTGATTCTAGGGTGGATGAGTGGGGGGAGGAGGTGGGTGAATGCTTCATTACCTCCCCCCCGCCCCGGAATGTTTCAGACTCACAAGGAAGCTGCAGTCATTATGACCCCCGCAGCTCCAGTGTTCCACTTATTTGTGTCTCTATTCTCCATGGTACATATCTGTTCTCCATGGTACATCCGTTCTCCGTGGTACATATCTGTTCTCCGTGGTACATATCTGTTCTCCATGGCACATATCTGTTCTCTGTGGTACATCTGTTCTCCGTGGTACATCCGTTCTCCGTCGTACATATCTGTTCTCCATGGCACATATCTGTTCTCTGTGGTACATCTGTTCTCCGTGGTACATCCGTTCTCCATGGTACATATCTGTTCTCCGTGGTACATATCTGTTCTCCGTGGTACATAGCTGTTCTCCGTGGTACATATCTGTTCTCTGTGGTACATCCGTTCTCCGTGGTACATATCCGTTTTCCGTGGTACATCCGTTTTCTGTGGTACATCCATTCTCCGTGGTACATCTGTTCTCTGTGCTACATCTGTTCTCTGTGGTACATCCATTCTCCGTGGTACATATCTGTTCTCCGTGGTACATATCTGTTCTCTGTGGTACATCTGTTCTCCGTGGTACATATCTGTTCTCTGTGGTACATCTGTTCTCTGTGGTACATCTGTTCTCCGTGGTACATATCCGTTCTCCGTGGTACATCCATTCTCTGTGGTACATATCCGTTCTCCGTGGTACATCCATTCTCCGTGGTACATCTGTTCTCTGTGCTACATCTGTTCTCTGTGGTACATCCGTTCTCCATGGTACATATCTGTTCTCTGTGGTACATCCGTTCTCCATGGTACATATCTGTTCTCCGTGGTACATCCGTTCTCCATGGTACATATCTGTTCTCCATGGTACATATCTGTTCTCCATGGTACATCCATTCTCCGTGGTACATCCATTCTCCGTGGTACATCTGTTCTCTGTGGTACATCTGTTCTCATCTTACTTCCTGATGCATCCAAAGGACTCGGCAGTAAAACAGTGCTCATGCAGACATTGTGTAACTTGAGTTTGATTTTTAAAAAGATTTCTTTTACTCATTCGTTTTTAGTTTATGTGTATGAGTGTCTGCCTGAATGTATGTATGTGCACCACATGCCTGCAGTGTCCAAGGAGGCCGAACACGGTCAGATCACCTGGGACTGGAGTTACAGATGGTGGTGAGCTGCCGTGTGGGTGCTGACAAGGGAAATCTGGTCCTCTGAAAGAGAAGTCAGTGATCTTAGCTGCTGAGCTATCTCTTCCTAACTGGAATTTTTACAGCAAAAGCCCTGGTTCCACCAGTCCCAGCAAGTGGCACTCGGACCCTTGTCACCAGTACATGAACTAAGAAGATGAAGTATTCAGAGAGGATTTTGCTCCCCCAAGACCCCATGTGCTGAAATCGAAGTCCTAAATCACTACATCTGGCCCTTACTTTTGTTGTGATTAGTGTCTCACTGAGTCCAGGCTAGCCTGGAACTTCCTATGTAGCCAAGGATGCCTTGAACTTCTGATCTTCTTGCCATCAGTTCCCAAATAAAAGACTACAGGTGTAGCTGAGCATGGTGGTGAACCCTTTTAATCCTAGCACTCAGGAGGCAGAGGTAGGTGGCTCTTTGTAAGTTCAAGGCCAGCCTGGTCTCCATAGAGAATCCAGGTCAGCTGCAGCTACAGGGAGACCCTGATAGGTAGACTACGGATGAATCCAGTTGATCGGGAGAAAGCACCAGGACACAGATAAAACTCCAGCGGAATTTTTGGAATACATGGGACAGAGGAAAGGAACACATGGGACAGATTACCTTCTGGGTAGGGAAAATGCCTGCCCCTGGGGTTGTGAGCAGGGGTCTTTTATAGGGGGAGGCTTCTGGGGGGGGTGCAGAAGGTGGGAAGATATATTTTTTTAAAGGTTAGGTGGGGGGAAGAGGGAGAGGAGGACCGTTAAAATCTGCCCCCTTTAGAGATCAAAGGGGAAGCCTGCTGTGTTGGCCAAACAGTGGAGAAAAGTCTGCTTCTCTTGACTTCAAAGACCAAGGTGCTTTTCTCAGGGGCTTGCAGAACCATGAGGCCCTTTTGGTGAGGGGGCGGGGCTGCTGTGTATCTGAACCCTAACAGACCCTGCCTCAAAAAGACAAAAAAGGAAACCAAAAAAACGAAACCAAGAAAAACAACAGCAACGAAAAACTACAGGTGTGTCACCACACCCAGTTGATGCTGGGCTGAGGATCAAACCGAGGATTTTGTGCGTTTTATAAACGGCAAGCACTGTTAACTGAGCTACAGCTCAACCCCAAAAGATTAAAGAAAAAGTTTAAGACAACAGTAACTGCTCCCCCTGCCAGCCCAGAGGACAACTTGTGGGAGAGTCTGTTCTTTCCCAGGGGTCAGGCTCTGGTGGAAGATGCCTTTATTTGCTGAGTCATTGTGCTGGCCCCCAAGGAGATTTATTTCAATATAGCATTGAGAAAAAGAACAGAAAAAGGGGCCCAGCGACCCCCGTCCCAAGTCTGTGCTCAGTGTAGTGACATGGAGTTTACTTAGGCTTAGGGGCAAGAGTCAGCACGATTAAGCAGTCTTAGGATAGACCTGGTTCTGCCCATCCCTAGCCCAGCTCAAGTTCTGCAAGACGGTCTGCAATCCTTATCGCTCAAGGAGGTAAAGGTAGTTCCCAACTCACTTCTTTTCCTTGACTTTGCAGTAAGTGTCTCCTCGGGAGGCTGTGTCCTGGGGAGAATCCAAAGGGACTCCACAGAGAGATAAGGAAGTTGACTTATTTCCACAGCTTCAGGTAAAGTTGCAGGCGAGATCAGGCGAGGTGGTGCACTTCTTCAGTCCCGACGCTCGGGAGGCAGAGGCAGGTGCATCTCTGTGAGTTCAAGGCCAGCCTGGTCTACATAGTGAGTTCCAGGAGAGCAGGGGCTACAGGGAGACCCCGTCTCAAGAAGACCAACAGAAAGATGAAGGCAGCTACATTGTTATTTTCTCCTTGCCTAGTTACCAGCTGAGCCCAAGTGAGGAGGCAACCTTGGCAAAGGCGCCTCCCAAGAGCCTGTTTGAACTGCTGCTAGGGTCGATGCTTACAACTCTTTTCTTTATGTATACTAATTCTTAATGTTTGATTTTGGCTCATTTATGTTTTTATTATTTATTTTGTGTAGGGGGTAGATGGAGGAATGCCAGAGCCCACTAGCGAAGGTCAGGGGACAACCTGTAGGAGCTGCTTTGCTCCTTCCACCATGTGGGGCCAGGGGCTGGAACTCAGGTTGTAAGTCCTAGCTGCAGACATCCTTGCCATCTTGTGCCCACCCTCACCCCCTTTTTTAATATGTAGCCATGATTGGCCTGGAACTTGGTATGCAGACCAGGCTGGCTTGGATCTCACAGAGATCCATTTGCCTCCTGAGTGCTGGAATTAAAGGTATGCAACAACACTCCCAACTTTTTTATTTTTGTTTATGAGATAAGGTCTCCCTGTGGCCAGCCTGGTGTACATAGTGAGTTCCAGGCCAGGTGGGGCTACAGAGAGACCTGTCTCAAAAAGACCAAAGGGAAAAAAGAAAGGAAGGAAGGAAGAAAGAGACCAACAAGAAGTACAGGGATGTGAGGTGTTAGGCGTGTCAGAAAAACCACCTCCTAAACAAGTGTCTTCTGTCCCCAGGCACCCAGAAGCAGGGCACTTATTCTGGGGAGGACTGGCACTGGACTTCATTCCATGCCTCATGGACCCAGTTCCAAATAGCTCCTAGTCTTGGTAAACACCTCTAAGGGTGGACGGAAGCTTTCCTGAGAAAAACAGAAAAGACCACAGAAATGACTAGGGTGTTGTTCTCTGAAGTAATTCCCTGATTCGTGTCACTTTAAAGTCTCCAAGGTGACAATGGGCCTACTTTCAAGTCAGAAATTGACTAATTCAGGGTTTGACTAATGCCTTGAGATTTCAATATCATCTACACTGTGCCTTGAGGCCCCAGTCCCCTGTAAAGGTAGAAAAGGCTAATGATCTCCTGTGCTTCAGCTTCTGCCTCCAGGTTCCTGCCCTGAGTTCTTACCTTGGGCTCCCTGATGAATTGTGACCTGGAAGATGTAAGCCAGATAAACCCATTTCCTCCCCAAGGTGGTATTGTGGCCAGTGTTTTGTCACAGCAATCGAAGGCAGACTAGAACAGTTGGTTAACCAATCACTTTCTCCTTGGATTTGAGGCTGCTGCACTGGAGGGAATTCCTGCCTGACGCTGTAAACCTTGTCAAATGCCGTGAATTGGGGGGAACCTTCTATCGTCGTTTTGCTAGATGGACAGTGCTGTCAGACTTCTTTCCAAAGTTATGTTCACACCTAGAGACGACTGTTTGTCAGCCTTGTACAGAGAGGCTTCTTTTTGCAGTGGGCAGCAGTTAATGCAGACTCATAATTGGTCAAAGTGCTGAGAATAAGAAACTGTTGAGTGCTAAGCCCTAAATGGGACATCACACCAAGCCCTCATCAGGGAACACTGCAGGAGAGGGGAAATGGGATCAAAAAGAATGCAAGAGCTGGAGGCTGGCGAGGTGGAGGCTGGCGAGGAGCTGGGAGACGCCTTCTTCTGGGGGTGATGTGGCTGTTGCACTCAGGAACTCACCGCAGCTGGGGTTCTCTACACCAGATCAAGCCAACAAGATCGCTCAGCACTCACTCGGAACTCGCAGAGACCCACCTGCCTCCACCTCTTGCGTTCGAGTGCTGGGGTTAAAGGTGTGCACCACCATGCCCAGCCCGGTTTCTTATACAATACAGAATCACCTGCAGAAGGGCGGCACCACCCCCAGTGGGCTGGGCCCTCCCACGTCACACACAAATCAAGAAAATACCCCACAGACATGGCCATAGTGGGGTTCAATGGAGGCAATTCCCCAATGGAAGTTCCCTCTACCCAGGTGTGTCAAATTAACAACTATCCAGCACACCTTCCCATAACAGTCATGCTACTATGCCATCACTGAGTGCATCTTGCCTGGCAGGCTGGTATTGTAGCATTCAGTGTTCACTGCTAAGTCAAACCATTGATGTCTCTTCTCCCCCAGCAGCACCTTCAGGCTCTATGAAGACTAGTCAGCCAGGAGTTTTTCAGCTCAGTTCCAACTCCATCCTCTGTCCTGAGACCACAGTGTGTTGTACCTTCAGCAATAGAGTCTTACTTTCTACTTATGGTAGGTGACCAAGCAAGATGGCAAGAGCTTGTGTTGTTTTGTGGGGTCTCTGTGGTCACCCTGACCAGTAACTCAGGGAGGTATCTCCTGCCTGGTGATGAGATTTTTGTTTTGAATATTCTTTATTATTTTTATTTTATGTGTATGAGTAAATTGCATGCATGCATGTAAGTGCACTCCTGTCACGCAATGGCCGAAGAAGTCAGAAGAGGGTATTGGATCCCCTGGAGTTATGGACGGTTGTTAGCTCCCATGTGGATGTTGGGAATCAAACCCGAGGACT